CAAATGTATGCAGGGATTATTAAACCAGTCCCAGGCACATTTTGATCTGAGCAAACTAGTACCCTCCTGAGCAGCTCCACAGCACAGGTTGGCCCGTGACAGGCTCCATCCACAACAGACAGCTTGGAGGTGGATATCCCATTTTGGAGGCTGAGAAAAATTATCGGTGTGGGCACAGCCAGACAAAGCCAGCTGGTCTGGGGATTAATGAGTGGACCTTGGTACTAGTATGTTTACTGGTATAGACATAACTATCTTGCCTCCTGAGTGCTTGGGTATGCCTTGCAGAACTTCAGCTAGACAAAATCCCCAGGGAGGGGTGGGGGAGTGGCGTCTGGCAAGCTTACCAACTGCAATTTAACTCTTTCGTGGTAGAAGTGTCTGCAATGGGTATGAGTGGGAAGTGCCTGAAATCCAGGCTTTTTGCACTCTTGCAATCCATAGCAATTAGGATCTGCATGAAAGGGCAGGGAGTGTATATAGAAAGTCCCTGTATTTGGGCAATGAGCACTAGGAATGGAAAAACCTCCACAGCTGGTTCATAAAACATCTGCAGTACTACCCAGAGAGGAAGCTCTTGGGTCAACAGCTGGCTGGTAATAGGCTTAGCCCTGTAAATTTTCTTGCTCCATAAGATTTCTGCTTTCATTTAGAGGAAAAAAAACATTTTATGGACCACTGTAAACATTGATTCAACCAGATTTACTTCTGAACAAAGAAAAGGAGACCGCAAAGATAGCTAAGAAGGTGTGTCATACTGGCTAAGTATACAAGCCAAAAGGGGAAGCACTATTGTTTTAAGGGGTGTTCTACATGGTTATTTCACCTCTGCAGCACTTGGCATTTGTGCAGAACAGGATTTGCCTTCAGTTAAGCAAAACAGACCTTGTGGTCTTGATCATCCATCGTCCTTCCTTTCTTGTATCCTTGGAAATACATATAAAATGCTGCTGATTAGTTTGGATCGCCTGCTTCTTTCCTGTACAACAGCAAGAAGCATAAGGAAAATAAAGTTATTAATGAGTAATAGGTTTACTGTTCAGGAAAGACAAGATTAAACTGGTGGGACTGAGGATCACTGTGGCAGTAACCAGCAGTGAAATAAAGGTTATATCAATGGATTAAGGAGAAGTATCTAGTTTCTGCAGTAAATAAAGTCACCTGTTGGAACAATAGAAAACAAAATTATAACAGGTAGTGATCCTCCAATAGCCTGATGTGATGCAGCCATATGAATAGAAAACATTCTCATGGACAGGGAAGTACTAAACAGTACTTTAGCAAGAGCTTACATGAAGTGTAGTGCACAATTATAGCTGCTTACACAAGAGAATTAAATATGCTGAAAAGTAGAGAAAGCATCTAAGATACTTAGGGAAAAGAAAGTTTTTCAAATGATCAGAGGGATGCAGCACCTTCCTGTGAGATAGTTGGGGTTGTTCAGCCTGGACAAAAGAAAGCTCTTGGGAGACCTTATATGAGAGCCTTTCAATACTTAGAGGGGGCTTATAAGAAGAGACTTTTTACCAGGGTCAGTAGCAATAGGACAAGGGGGAATGGTTTTAAATGAAAAGAGGAGAGATTTAGGTTAGGTGTTAGGGAAGAAATTCTTTACTATCAGGGTGGTGAGGCACTGGAACAGGTTGCCCAGAGAAGTTGTAGATGCCCCATCCCTGGAAGTGTTCAAGGCCAGGCTGGATGGGCCTTAGAGGAACCTGATGTTGCTCTAAAAAGATGTCTCTGGCCATGGCAGGGGGGGTGGACTAAATGACCTTTAAAGTTCCTTTTCAACCCACACCATTCTATGAATCTGTCTTCAGTGAGGAACTTGGCTTTCACAACCTAACAAAATGTTGCATGTCTATAATACTTGTATTAATACACCAGAGAAAAGTTATTTGAACTAATAGCCACTGCTGGCACAAGAAAAAATGGGTATAAAGAGGCCATTAATAAATTTATCCTGAAAAGAAGGTTTATAAGCATCAAAGCAGCACCATTTTGGAACAGCTTTTCTAACTGCATCACAAAATTTAATTTGGTTAAGCAGCACAATCACAACATGGATTAAACTATATGATTGACCAAAATTGCAGAACTCCTATGCTTTCCTAAGGCCTATATTACGAGAAGGAAATATTTTACATGTTTTGGGTAATAAAGGTGTAGATCCTATATTTCTATATAAGATTATGAGTTCAGTACACACATTTGCTGTTGCTGACTTTTCCTTGCTTCACTTAATGTTTATTTTGGGGTGATGTTGATTAATAAGACTTTATGAACTTGATTATATCTAGTTTTGCTACTGTTTAGGTACTTAACTACATCTCCATCACTAAATATACATTAATTCTATTAGATTTTTCCAATATATTGTTAATCTTGTAGTTATAGTATCACATTTCAGCTTGGCGTGCTGATGTGTGATGTCCATTCCCCTCTCCTGTTCGGGTTTTACTTTTTGCTGTAGTTACTGACCATAGCTCCACTCATATCATTTATGTAGGTTAAATTCTTAGTGACCCTAAATCTGTTATCATACACACCTTATTGTTTTTATATTGTGAGATGCCATGGTTCCCAACTTGTTATGAGGGAGACTTCCAAAGAAATTAAGATAGCTTGTCTGTGTGACAGTCTGGACTTGCAGAATACCTCCTTGCATTGTTGTATTTGTTAAATCCACCTTAACAGTAACTCAGCAAGGTCTTGTATGTGCTGTAACACAGTCTATCTTAATATTTATTATTTAATCTATCAAAACATTTGGCTCTCTCCACACACGGGGGAACAATTAAAAGTCCTGAAAAACTATACAAAATTTCTCATGTAATTAGATGTTTCAGGGTACGTTATTAAGGCCATCTGTTCTCCTGGATGACTGAGTATGACTGAGAAATGAGATGTTTCCTTTTCTACTTGAGGTTCCGTCTGTCTTGATTCTATATTTGATTAACACTGTATGGGGGTGGGGGCTTAATTTATTTGTAATGATCTTAACCTGTATAACTGGTTAAGTATGATTAAGGTAGGATGTTGAACTGTTTAGCATTTGAGATGCCCTTTATTGTTTCAGTGTAAATAACTCACTTGAACATTTTTCTAGGAGAATCTCTATTGCTTCTCTGTTGTTTACATTCCCCCACCACCTGCTTTTTTCCTTTTCTACCAGTGATCCAATTTTGCCGTGGAATAAATGGTTACAACTAGAGAAAAATCGCTGCCATGTCATGCTTTTTGAATTTGGCTAGTAAAGCCAAGCAGATCTGAGCAGTGCAGCAAAACATATGCTGTAAACTTATGAGAACTGGCTTGTTTTCCCCTCTGTAACATCTGTGCAGTCCAACCAAAGGCAACTTAGAATATGCCAGAGTGCTGCACAATGTGGAGGTACCCAAATTAACTTTTAATTTAGGTATTTCTGCTGTTCTGCCAGCCGTGATGTGCCAATACCATTAAGAGGAGAATTCAGTCCCTTTTTATTCGAGCAGCTGGTTGTCTGCACTTTTCCCTCTAAGTGCCTCTAAATCCTAACAGAGCAATGACACGCAGCAATACTTTCGTTTAACATTTCTAACAAGTGATTGCTTTAGCTAGATTTTGCATTAGCACACACACATTTAAAAGTTAAACCTGGCTCTGAATTATGCTTCCACTTCTTTATATAAATTTTTGCAAATAAGATCAAAGATCTCTTCTGCTCTGCATATAGAAAAGTATTTACAAATCTGTGCTAAACCAAGACATCTGGTCATTGTGTTTTGGTTACTGCACTGTGTTTTGTTATATCTATTGTGTTGTCTTTGATATTTCATCCACTTTATGTACAGCAGCAAGTACAGTTATAGAAATATTCAAAAAACACATTTATTCATCCATTCACTCAAATGCAATATTGTTTGAAAAATTAAACATGAGATATGAGTTTATAATACATTGTTGCTGCACAATTAGCACTGTTAATGTCATTGGTCTGGCATCACCCTTAGGCATGTAAACCCTGGCACTTGCCCAGACTGCATGGCTTCCTGTTGGTTTTAGGAATGCTTATCAAAATCCATAAACAGTTTAAAAATAGTATTGGAAGATAATTGTAGGCATTTAGAATAGCACATAGCTAGTTATCAAGGAGTGAGTTAGTTAACTTTCACTCTCTTTAGTGTCAGCACAGAATAACAGGAACTTCCAACTTGCAATTATTTTTCCTAACTTGGGGAAGGTATGTAATTAGGTAGCTCATTTGGAGCGAGATATATCACCTAGGAGCCCACATTCCTCATCACTTTAAAGAGCTCAACCTTGACTTCTCTTTTAATCCCCTGAAGTTAACTTCATCCCTCCCCAATGTATGTTTCCCTGGCCTGCAATGAGATGAAGTCAGCATTTTTCAGCTATTTGTAGCTGACTCTAGAGACATTCTTTGTCCCTCTTGAGCAGAAAGGGCATGCATCTTTCTACAAAGGAAACATAAGTGCTGCTACTGTGGCCATGAAGCTACAGATGTACCATGATGTACACCATTGTGAACACAATTCATACAGTCATCTGGAATTTATGATCTACTGTGAAAGAGATGTGGACTTTTTTGTGTAATTGGAAAGAGAATTTAAATTCCTTTTTAAGGAATTCTTCTTGAAATAGTACAATTTTTTATTATTATTTAAAGTGAGAGAAGTTGCTTAAAGAACATCACAATAGCTATTAAAATTTTGACAGATGTTCTGCTCCAGTGAAATGTGCAACTGTTAATTTTAACCCAAGTAACATAGAGATAGGTTGAGCATGTCAGAACTTTTTGTTACAATACTTTTGTAGACTAAAGTATGTCTTCATATTTTTTCCCTTCAGGAATTACACAATGTCATAGTTGTAATAATTCCATAATCAGAAAACTGAAAAAATGAACTTTGATGGATTTTTTTTTTCCAGAATGCCTCTTTCATAAGAGAACTGCATAAGAGATCTGGAAGCACCAAGATTTGGTGAGAAATTAAATCATTCAAGAAGTGGAATTTTCATCCTTATAGGAGCTCTACTTAAAGAGTCATCTCACAAAGGTGTTTTCATCTTGGGAATGGTCATGTCAGCTCTCTGCTCCCTTGACAATAATAATGTACATCAGTTCTCACAGATGGTATAAGTCACTGCAGATTATATCATTACTGGATAGTAAAAATACTGTGTTTATAGATGTCTTTACATCATTTTCTATATATTTTAAGACCTGTATTGTCCAGGTGCTACAGTAGTAGGTTTGTTTTCTCAGAATTTAATAATCATTAGAAATTCTTAGCATGTACGTTATAATTTTTTGTTATAATTTTCATGTGTCATAAAAATACACATTCTGCTACAGGGAACTAAAAAAAAGATATGCACATGAAAGTCAAGGTTTGAAATATATATATATATTTTATTTTTTTTCTCCTGTTATACTATGAGCAGGATATAGAAAGGTGAGTTTTCTGGCCCTTTTGGCTTTTCTAGGCCCTGGCAAAAATATCTGGGCTTCTCAGGCTCCTCCCCTGTCTCAGCAAACTTGTTTATAAATACCTACAAGGGACATGTTTTCTTATAATTGAGACAGTAAAGTCTCTGCTGTTCAGTGGTGAGTGTAATTTTCCATTCCAGTACTTCACCTGGAGACACAGCAGATCCTTTGTCTCTCAGCATCTAAATTAAGATGGGGGTTTTATCTTATGTAAAAATTCCTTTGTGATATCTGCTGTTTTCCGTGCTACAGAGAAGGTTACAGGAGATCACTACAGCCTGATCTGGCTGCAAGGACCTGTGAAAAGTTCAAAGCTGTTATCAGTGACTATCCTGTCCATGGGATTCATCCTCCTGCCCCTTGCCAAGAAGAGGGAATTGCACGTGAAGTCATTTGTCCTCCATCTGGCAGATCCTTGAAGCTTGTATCCCACCTGTCTCAGCCTGTGGAGCCCTGGAGAGCCTGGGTGACTGGTGCCTGGTGCATTTCCCCAGGGGATGGATTGGGGCTGAAGCTGCAGTAGGCACAAAAGAGGTGCACCTGCTTTGGGGAGCTGTTGTCCAAAAGATACTTGTGGAGCTTCTTCAGTGGGGTTAGTAGATTTTTGTTTATTAAATCTTGTTTTTGTAGAGGAACAAACAAGAATGGATATGTGAAAGCTCTCCTGTTAGGCAGAATATTATAGACTCTGTGTTCAAGCTGTACTTTAATTAAGGGTATCAAAAATAGAAAAATTGTCAAACAGACTGAACATTGGGGATGTTTTAACAGGCAGAAAGAAGGATGAGTGAGAGCTTAGCAAACTAATATAGGCTTGGAAAATAAGATTTGATGACCTTTTAATCACTGCTTTCTCAGTATGTAGAGGAAGATCATTTATTTTCCCAGTACTTCAGTTTCTTTCTGTACAGTGGGAATAATAAAACTGCTTGAAATAAGCCTTGCAGGGAGAAATGTTAAATATTGGCAAGTGCTTACAAGTTTTGATCAAAGAATCACACTAGCTATTTACTTTGGGCAAGTAAATGCTATGTGTGGATATGGAATTTCAAAGTAAAATAGGTCATTAAATCATGATATGGTAAGGCATTCCTCTTAAAGTCATGAGCTAAAGAAAAACAACTGAACATTAAAGAGCCTTTGACAATCTTCAGAGGAAAAGACAAGTTATCACCTTTAAATATGAAATTACAGATAAATATTGATTTTGGAACATTTAGGTTGTCCCCCCAAGTTCCTTAAAATGATCATCTCACTCCATGAGGATCAGCACGGCCAAGTCAGATATGGCAACACACTTTCTGAGCCCTTTTTAATTAAGAATGGTGTGAAACAAGGCTGAGTTCTCTCTCCTACCCTATTCACAGTCTTCTTTAGCATGATCCTCCAAAGGGCCACGGCAGATCTCAATGATCAGGACGGTATCTACATTCAATACCGTACTGATGGAAGTCTATTCAATCTAAGGTGACTGAAGGCCCACACCAAGACCTTAAACCATCTTGTCCGGGAGCTGCTTTATGCTGATGACGCCGCCCTTTTTGCCCACACAGAAGCAGCTCTGCAGCGTTTAACATCGTGCTTTGCAGATGCTGCTGAGCTCTTTGGGCTGGAAGTCAGCTTAAAGAAGACAGAGGTCCTCCATCAACCTGCACCTCAGGAAGTCCCCCATCATCCCCACATCACCATTGGCCAATCAGAGCTCAAATCAGTCCAACAGTTTAATTACCTTGGTAGCCTCATCTCCTCAGATGGTAAGATTGATGGAGAGATAGACAACAGGTTAGCAAAGGCATACAGTGCTTTTGGAAAACTCCACAAAAGAGTATGGCGTAATAAACACTTGAAGAAAAGCACCAAGATCAGTGTTTACAAAGCCATAGTGTTGTCTACTCTCTTATACAGATCTGAATCATGGGTCATCTACCGCCACCACCTGCGTCTCCTAGAACGCTTCCATCAACGCTGCCTCCGTACAATCCTAAACATCCACTGGTCAGATTATGTGACCAACACATCTGTTCTAGAGCAAGCAGCTATCACAAGTATAGAAGCCATGTTACTGAGAACACAGCTGCACTGGGCAGGGCACGTCTCCAGGATGAAGGACCACCGCCTCCCTAAGATCTTGCTTTATGGTGAACTTGCCACTGGCTGCCGCAAGAGAGGAGCCCAGAAGAAAAGATACAAGGACTCCCTGAAACAACATCTCAACCTTGGCCATATTGATCACCATAACTGGTCTACTCTGGCCTCCAATCGGGAGGCCTGGAGACACACCATCTATAACGCAGCTGTCTCCTTTGAGAACGCACGCAGGATCACTCTCGAGGAAAAAAGGCAACGCAGAAAGAACCGTGTATTGCAGAATACACCATCTAAGGAGTCTTTCTGCTGTGCCTTTTGCAATCGGATTTGTCTGTCACGTATTGGCCTCATAAGCCACCAGCGTGCCTGCAGCAAATGTGGATAGAGCCTTCCCAAATCTTCGTTCGCGAAGCCTAGCCATGATGACAGATAAATATATTTTCCTTCCTTAACCCCCCCGTAATTCCAATTAGGGATTTTACTTCTCACATCCCTCCCAAACTGTGGCACAATGCCACTATGCATTACTGAACAGCTGCCTTACTTGACCCCAGAAGTGACCACTTCTTGGCAGTGGATGAAGAGTCACACAGGTTCCTTGAGTACTTCACTGAGATATTGTGACTAGATTAATGCTCAAGAAGTGTTGTGAGATACTTGGATTAAAAGCATTATGTAAGGCCAAATTAATTATGAGTATTAATACAATCTTGATCTAAAGAGTAATTTGAATAAGGGATAAAGTAATTACAAGATCTTTTTGAGTCACGTACAGCATGATTTGCTTCTCCATATAAAATATCTCCCACATCATTTAGAATGTTTTTGTGGAGCAGAGCAGGGCAGTGCCACTCAGAAGTGACACAAATATATGCTGCCAGATGTGAGTCATCACTGAACTCCAGCACTTGTTTCTTTGTTCACATTTCAAGCACAAGACAACCTGTTCCCTACAACAGAGTTGCCAGCAGATGCCTTGATGGAACATGTAATCAGGAGGCTGCCAAACAAGGAGGGGTGTTTGATTTTGTTCTGAAATTTCGGGAATTATCTTCATTTCCTGTGAACACCTGTGGTTACATGGCACAACCATCCTTGTCCTTGGGTGAAATCCTGGCATTTCTGAAATAAAAGAAATCCAAGAAATGTCCTGTTTGCCTTCAGTGGAACCAGGATTTCCATCATGTACATGTTTCAGTGCCATCTTCTTTCAGGTAAGGAAACACAGAAATGCTGGAAATTACATGAATTTGGTAGTCATATGTAGTTAATTTCCCTACAAAAGTAGAAAAATAAGACTGAACCTTACTGACTGGTCTCCAAATCTGTCTTGACAGTTGGGTGGACCACATGGGTTTCCACTGCAGCTTTTTGCATGGCAAGCTTTTGTGAATACCTAGAAAGTTTGGTATCAATTTGACTTTAATGAAATCTGAACACATGGAGATCAGATTTGTAAGTCTAAGCCTTGTATATTGCTATGTTAGATTCTTTTGATTAACTACATGTATCCAGAGTATATTTAAGGCATCTGTTCTAGGATGAACTGAGTTGCTCCCTAGATCTGCATTGACTCTAATTGACTTCAGCTAGTCACATGAATTTTATAATTTTATACTTATTTTTGTAAGTACTTTAGGATTTTAATAAAATGGGACTGGAATATTGAATTAATTAATGTTACTGAGTTAGTTACCACAGAAACGTGAACAGATAATTGAATTTTAACTTTAGAAGCAGCATATCTCTGCAAACTTCTCACCACCAAATGAAATATTTGAATTGAATAGCCATTTTCTTTCCAGATATTGGACAAATAACTCTAATGACTATTCACACAAACACCACTTATAAGGCCAGAATTCCACATGCAGACTTCCTTTTCATGTAAAATTTGAGGCAACTGTCTAAAGCCAAGCATACAAATGGCATTCTGAACATTTAGTTCTAGTCCATTTATTTTTGTTTACTTCTGTGCTTCATTATAATGAGATACACACTTTTGTGTATCAGGGATTATAATTACTCATGTCCATAGAGCAGCTCACTGGAGAGTGTAATTATTGCTCACATGTTGGCTCAAGGCAAGAATTAGACTCGAAAGTCTGACATGGTCATGACTCGTACATTTTAATTTGTTCACCTCCTGGTAGCACCTAACAGATCACCTATGCCTGTCCTAATTTTTCAGCACAAAGAGATTAAACTCCTGTCTCTGTATCCTTTTTTGGGAGGGAGATAGTCATACCTGAGAATGGAGTTGGCCTTACTCACAAAGACAGAGCTAACGCAGGGACGGGGCTGGCACACAGGGCAGCTGGCCATGTGTGCGGCACTGCCAACATCATAGACATGTCCGAGGAAGACATGTCTATGGAAGACACTGGACCCTTACTCACCTGAGGAACAGGAGCAGGCAAAGGCTGCTCCAGCTCCATTGCTGTTACGCTGGCCTCTGCACTGCTGACACTTCTGGTCTCTTATGTTTTCTGTCTGGTGCACCATTAAATTTCCTGAGAACTCTCACACTTCAGTAGAACAAAAACCTCCAGGATTTAACACTGTGTATTGGGTAAGGCATTGTGGTTTGGCTACATGTTGGCTAAACCAAACAAGTTATGCCCTATTAAGCAACAAAAAACTTCAAATGTCCCTTCTTTGCCTATTACCAGTAAATCCTGGGTCTCAATCGTTGAAAAATATCTGGTACTCAGGCTTTTCTGGGCTGGCTTATTCTGAGTTTCTGTGAAGACCCCTCCACAGCATGGAGCCATGACCATCTCCTCAGAGCTATATTGCAGGGCATGTATGCATGAGCTTATTGTGGGAATTACAGACAGAGCTATAATGCTATGGTTGGCCAAGATTTCTCCATAAGGCCTTGGTAAGGTAGGTGAGCCTACACAGAGATGGCCATCCTGCTCTCCATGCTATGACCGAGGGAACAGAGGAACCATTTTTTCCTCTATACTCATACAACTAATTACAAAACAATAATAGTCTTTCAGAAAATTGCCTCCATTACAGCAATGTTGGAAGTGGTAAGACGAGACCAAGTGCGCTAGTTGTAAATATGTTTATGTATGTTTATGTAAATAATTATGTTTTAATATCTTTTAATAATAAATGCTCACAAACAAGCACAAATTAAGTTAATTCTGCATATTTTAATTCATTTTACTTTTTTATAAGACTAATGTCTTTCTATATGATTTTAAGTGGTTTTACAAAATCGCTTCAAAAGAGATGATTCTACAGAGTTTGCATACACTTGATATATATCTTTGGAATTATTTGTTCTTGTGCATGCTTTTAGTTACAGAATAAAGACTGCCTAAACTTTTATTGAGATAATTTAAGTAATTTCCTTATAACAAACTGAATGAAAAACACATCATTAAAAAAAAGATTTAAAGACAAGAAAAATGCCATTTCATGAGAGCACAACTCTTGAATGATTACTTCATCTCCAACAGTGAATTCTTAGTTATTTAATGAAATCCTGGTTATTCCATATGTGTCAGGAGTTTTCAGTGAGACAAAATGAACCTTGGTCCTAATGTATGCTCTGGGAGTGAGAGGCACTGGGCAAATATTATAGCAGGTCATTTTAAACTTAATTTGCTCAGTTGTCTTTGAAGGTATCTTGGGTGCTGATAACAGCAATTTCTGATTGTCTGTCAGGCAGTGCATGTATGCAGGAAAAAATGTGTCACTGTCCTTTCCCTCCTCACCCACCGGTTATGGATCTTTCCTGCTGATACACAATCCATCTCCCCAGCTCTTTCATTAACTGTGACTCAGCTGCATACCTTCACCCCCTCCTCCCCCCCCCCCCCATGTTGAAAGTGCACATCCTTCCCTGCTCTGACATCTTGGCACAGGGATTGGTGTCAGGGCAGTCTGGGGTGCTGCTGCAGTGCACAGCAGTGAGCCACCCCCGTCCACCACCTGCTCCTTCCGTGCGGATGCTCAGGCCAGCACCACAGCTGCTGCTGCTCTGAGGTACCACCACATGTTGGCTGCACCTGAACCCCAGCCCGGCAAGGTCTGCAGGAATGCATCAGGCCACCGAGGCTGCAATTCCTCTCACCTAACCTCAGCTTTCTAAAGGTTAGAAATATAGATACTGGTCTATTCCCTTTCCAGCTAATGGAAGGAGACAGGAACAGCTGGCCAAGATTTCTCCAGGTGGACGTCACCACTCTCCAAAGGTGTCTGTCCTGCACCTACAGGGACATCAGTTGGCTAACACTAACTGCATGTGGCATTGCCAGGTCTCAGGAGTTTGCAGAGGCAGAGCTTGACCTTAATGTGCACCAAAATGATTTTAGCATTAACAGAACCTTTTTTGGCAAGCAAGTTGCTCTACATAAGGAAAGATCTGCACATGGTCCTCCCAGCATCTGGTACTAATATTCTTTTGCAGATTATAAGATGCAAGAGCAATACAAACAAAAAGTGTTCTCAGTGATGAAGAAACATCATTAGAAGTTAATGAAATAAATTTCTAAACCATTTAAAACTGGTTTGCCAATAGGCCAACCCCAGACTGAGTTAACTCAAAAGGACTATAAATACTGATTTTTGAAAATTAATAAAATAAAGGAAACCACACTAACATTACCTGAGCAAAATTAAAGGTGGAAACAAGAAAAGCAGAAGGAGATTATGTACATTTCTCAAAGATAATTGCTGGAAGTATATTTACGTCTGTAAGTACAAAGGGGAAATTGAAATTTATAGTATTTATGTCTCAGCACATTTAAAGTAATATTTCATAAGTAATTCCAATGAGTATAGATCCACTTAAAAGCCATATAGCATAGAAGAACAGTGGTCTCATTACATGAAGTACTTTACAATAAATAAGTGAGCCACTGACTAAATTGTTCTCGTTCATAAACTGCACAGAAGAAAATAAGGGCAATCAGTGGGACAAGAAACATCTGTTGATGTTCAAGATGAAGTTCTCGTTTAGTGCTAAATTAAACTTTCTCAAACTTTTTTTCTCATGTCACTATTCTTTGATTCTTTATGTTAAGAGTCAAATCTTTGTTGGCAAAGTCTCACTGGGATTTGCTTGATCTTGCAAAATGCAGTTTCCAGCTCAGCAAACTTATACCAGACATACACAACCCTAAGCAGACCAATAGTTCCATGTTTAAGAGTAAAGGTTTTCAGCACATTGCAAAACTCATCCTTAGTTGTTTCTGTTCCAGTAACGTTTCTGCATTTTACTGTAGAAAGTTTTTGCTAGCTGATACAAAATTCCTTTCTTACACTTTGTTCATCCCAGAAGATGCAAAACAAATTGTCTGAATGTGATTGTGTATATACACACACACATACAAATCCACACTCATGCTCTAATGCATACAACACATCAGCCAGACTCCTAATATCTACACCCAAAATTAAAAAGAGGGACTGACTGACACCAGAGTATGTAAATATCCACACTGAACTCAAAAGATGAGGATATTTTTTTAAATGTTCCCCTCGCTGTGACCACCAACATAGCTGACCGAGCTCTCCTACTATAATTAATTAATTTTTTAATTGCTGTAGGTGAAAGGTATATTTAAATCAAAGCCATGGAGGCATGAAGTTCCATAGTCATGTACCATTTCAGTAAACAGCCAGCTTCGTCAGTTTAGATTTAATTTACTCATGAGGAAAATATCAAAGAATCTGGAGATTTTATTTATAAAATCTATGTATAAAACTTTTGAGATAAATGACAAAAAAATCAAGGTACAAAAATATTACTGATTGATAAAAGCCATTGAAATATCCGAAACTCCAAAAATTCTTAGAAGACCGGATTACTTCTAAAAGACTCTTTGCTCAATGAACTAACTTAGCAGTGTTCAATAAAGCTGAAAAGCTACTAAGCTAAGTTAATAATAAGCTCAGTGAATAAAATTAATAACTGTCAGAAACTATCTGCTGTTTTGTTAGTCGGCTTCTTCACAACCAGTCGTAACCAATAGCCCTGGTGTCAGATTGGGAAAACTCTTGGCTGTAGATAGGTGCTTAGAGGAGAAATTTCAATATCAAAATAACAAATGGTTTCCATGTAGATTTAAATTTTCATTTTGTTTCCTCAAATTATATAAGGAGATGGAATTTTATTCCTCATATACCGATCAGGAGCTAAGAAAATTTAGCAACAACAGTCTGGATAGATGATTACACATACTATATTGAG